GCTTTTCCCACCGAGTCTGGATTAGATTTTTCATTTTTGATAGTTTGCAAAACGTCTTTAGTACCTTTTACTGAATACGTTTCGTGATTATTTACCAACACTTTATTTAGTAAAGGTATCTCAATTTTTTTTTCTAAATTGCTAAGGAAGTAATATACTACAGGAGTGTTTGGGATCAACGTAGCAGATCTTTTATCTTCATAGTCTGCGTTAGCATAAAACCAAATTAAATGAGAAATGCCAGTTTGGTACTCAATTTCCTCTTTTACTTCTACTTCATATGGTGAATTTTCTTTATAATTAACCAATTTATGCTCATCATCCTTAAGCTTTCTTATTGATATAATAGTTAATGGTGGTGTTGTTAGGTTTTCATTTATACCAAATGGGTAAATGAATGATTCAAATCTATTTGTAATATTTTGTGCTTTTTTTACCAAATCAGGATTAGATTCTCCATTTTTGATAGTTTGCAAAACATCTTTAGTACCTTTTATTGAATAAGTTGTGTGAAAATTTACCAATACTTTGTTTAGCAAAGGTATCTCGACTTTTTTTCCTAAATTGCTGAGGAAATAATATACTATAGGAGTGTTTCGGATAAACATAGCAGGTCTTTTATCTTCATAGTCTGCGTTAGCGTAAAACCAAATTAAATGAGAAACGCCATTTTCATACACAATATCCTCTCCTATTTCTACTTCATATGGTGAATTTTCTTTATAATTAACAAATTTATGCTCATCATCCTTAAGCTTTCTTATTGATATAATAGTTAATGGTGGTGTTGTTAGGTTTTCATTTACACCAAATGGGTAAACATATGATTCGAACTTAGTAGGAGGAAGTTGTCGTGGTACTATTTTGTTTCCCACATCCTGAAAACTATATTTAATAAAATTTGAGTCAAATCCTTGATTGCTATTTTTCACATTTCCATCAAAAAATGAATATTTTGTCAAAATAATGGTGACGATAATAAGACAGAAAATAAAATATTGATTGAATTTTTGAACCGGAAATTTAAGAAAAGACATTTAAAAATTAGTAATTGACGAATAGTTGGCGAGTAATTAAAAGAAAAATGTCGAATAACGACTTAATATATATGAGTCAATTTTTTTTACCGATATGCTGTAGATTGTTACCAATAAAGTTTATTATCAGCATGAATCATTTTATTAATTGGCTGTGCTTTGACTCGTGATCCGCCACATTTCCTTTTTGTTTAAAACGGAAAGAATTTTCGTCAAAAATTTTAATAATATATGCGCTATAAAGGTTTCACGCGTGCAGATTATCAGAACTATCTTCGCATGCACAGAATTTTTTATCGAATTTGGGATGTATTTTTAAGAATTATTAAGTTCGACGGCTTTTAATTCCATAGTTAGATTTATGCATTGTCGGGGATGAAGCTGAAATCGGATGATGCTGAAATTTTGGCCTATTTTATTATGAAATTTTAAAAAATTTTCG